ACAGACTCGGGGGGAAAAAAGAAACAGGGAGTGCCACTTGTCACTGAGGAATTTATTAATCTGACTAAATGAACAACATTTTTTAAAATCAGTTTTTCTCTGATTTAATCAGCATTAGATCATGGAAGATTTCTATTTCCCTGGCAGCTTGAACCTTCTCCACTTTTTAATTTCATGATAATATCCAACTTAGATCCCGCTTCATGTTTTCCTCTAAGGGAAGCAGGATAGTCTAGGTTCCATCCATGCCTTTGCGTCACAGTCTGTGTGATTTCGGGCGCTGATTCTCCCCTGACCCCCCATAAACCCCCAGTCCCACCTTCTCCCTCGCGCTCTCACTGCCACAGTGCTGTGCTGACACAGAACCTCACAGGGGGTCTGCACGAAAGCCTTTCGGGTTGATTGCCGAGCAGCGTGGACTTTTGGGAGAGGAAACCCACGTGCTAATTTTTAAATTTTTTTTCTTTTTCTTTTTCTTTTGCAGCCTGCCTCCATTAAAAAAAAAAAAATCCGTGTTTGTGTATATCAGTCTGTCTCCTATGTCCCCATGTTTTCTCCAAGTCAATGTCCTGAAAAACATTAACCTTCAAGTGATTTTTTTCTATTTTTATCATTTCTGGCATCTTAAATTTTAGTATCAGTATTATAATACTTGAAATTTACACAATTATTAAGTAGATTTTTAAAGTAGCTCACAAATTGTTCAAAACCAACCTCAGCTGGGTAGGTATTTAACCCAAATGTCTGGCTCCCTTCTGAATCCTCTGCTTGGCATTCTTATCATAAAGGTGGAATTGACCTTTAAACTTGATAATCAAAGAGTCAACCTGGGTCACACTTCATCTGGGAACTCGCTTCCTTTATATGTAATTGTCATTGTATATTAAAAGAAAGAGGCTTTTTAAAGTATTTTGTAAAGGAGGGTGTGAGTCTCAGTAAAAAAATGTTAAGATCTCAGTCCAGGGTTAGATTCATCATCATCTTTTTACATTTCACAAGGGAGGGAACCAACTTTTCAAATTTTAGCCAAAAGCTTTGACATGAAGCGTTGAGAACCACTGTGCTCACGTCCACATCCTGCTCCAGGTGTCGTTCTGAGCATTTGTGTGCTCACTCACGTATGTGTCCCAGCAGGCCCGCCGGGTAGGCACTGTCAGTGTTCCCTGCTGGGATAACGGGGCACCGAGGACTTGAGCCACCTGCCGGGGGAGGGGTTTGAACCTGGGCAGTCTGGGTCCAGCGCCCATGTTCTTAGCCTCTGTGCTCCCAGGCTGTATCTGCTTTTATGACAGGCGTCTTCTTCCATTCATCCAGTATTCCCCTTGCCCTTTTTGTTGGAAATGAAGGGGTAAAGAAAATATATTTCTGGGGGGAGTTTGTAGCTCAAGTGGTAGAGCACGTGCTCAGCATGCACAAGGTCCTGGGTTCAATCCCCAGTAGCTCCTCTAAAAATAACTAAGTGGATAAACCTAACTACCCCCTCAAGAAAAAAGACCAAAAAAATATAAAAATATATTTATATATATTTCAGGTTAGACTCATTTTCTGTAATAAGACCAGGCTGTCACAGCTAAACTAGACAAACACGTCTGAGGGCGAGGATCTGTATTGCTTAAAACAATGGCCCTGAAGAAAAAGAAACCCCCAGTCGAGGACGGCACAAAGTTAACGTCTCGTCTTAAAGTCCATGTGGGCCTTCTCAGTGAGGGAAGGGTTCTTTCTAAGTGGTGGTGAGTCCAGGGTCCTTCCAACTGTGGCTCCACCACCTTGAACCAGCGCCTTTGACAGCGCCCATGTCCCTGTGCTTCGGGTGGGCCGCAGGGGGACAGAAGGGCCTGCAGGTGGCACCCAGCCCTTTGTTCCCTTCCGTGGACCAGAGCTCCATCCTACAGCCACTCCCACCGGGAGAGCCAGGAAGTTAGCTTTATCCAGGAAGCAGAGAAGCAGCTGACCAGCTAGCAGATCTCTGCCCCCGGAAGCTAGAATTTCACACGTGTCACATGTCATTGAAGAAAATACGGCCGGTTCTTGATGAAGACAGCATAGAAGACTATTTAGATTCACAGACGTGTAGGACTGTTGTTAGCTGCTTTGAGGCGTTTCAGGGATGTGGAAAAGGCAAATTTGTATCCAAAAGTGTACGTCCTTTCTTGTCTTGTCAGTATGTGTGTGTTTTTTAACCTTTTCAATTATTTTAATTTGTAGGGACCTTTAAAAGGACGCAGAGTTGAAGGAATTCAATATGAAGACATTTCTAAACTTGCCTGAGTTTGAAAATTTGTTAACAACACATTAAAATCTTAAAGCATCAAATTGGTGTTTACCGAGGCATTACAAGGCTCTACTGTGTTAGGGTGTTTCTTTTGTATAAAATAGATGGATTTATTTAAATATTACTGTATAGTTGTTTAGCTAAACTTATAGAAAAATCTATGTCTCAAGCAGTATCAAAATTCTGTAATTTTGCCCTTGTTGTTTTTGTTTCCTTTGTAATATTTCCTTGATGATTTTTTAAATCTTCATTAAAAGAACATTATGGTAAAGTGTTCTTATATAAGATGATTAAGAATCCTACAGTTAGAGGAAATCCTTCATATACTCTGAACTTATATTTTCATCAGTGGTAGTGAAGTTGAATGATAGTTTCCCCCACTGTCAGCATCCCACAAATTTGTTACATTTGATGAACCTTCATTAACATGTCATTATCAGCCAAAGTCCACAGTTCACCTTAGAGTTCACTCTTGATGCTGTACATTCTGTGGGTTTGGACAAATTTATGATGAAATGTATTCACCGTTACACAAAGTAGTTTCATCAGTCTGAATCCATCTACTCGCCCCCCACCCGTCCCCGGCCTCTAGCAACCACGGGTCTTTTTCCTGTCTACGTGGTTGTGCCTCCTCAGGGATGTCTTACAGTCAGACTCACCAAGCGTGTTGCCTTTCCAGACTGGCTTAATTACATGCACTTATGTTTCCTCCACGTGTCCTCTCATGGCTTGACGGCTCATTTCTTTCAAGCGCTGAGTAACATCACAGTAGCTACGTATACCTGTTTATTTCTCCGTTCACCTCCTGAAGGACATCTTGGTTGCTTCCAGGCCTCATCAACTATGAATAAAGCTGCCATAAACATCCATGTGCAGATTTGTGTCTAAACATGTTTGCAATGCATTTGGGTAAATGCCAAGGGGCATGATTGCTGGATTGAGTGGTAAGAATGTCTTCCTTCCAAAGTGGCTGCACCATTTTGTATCCCCACCAGCAGTGAAGAAGAGTCCCTGTTGCTCCGCATCCTCACCAGCATTTGGTGGTGTCTTGATTTTGGCCGTTCTTGGAGGTACGCAGCAGTATCTCGTTTTAATTTGCAGTCTGCTGACACAGGCTGTTAGCATCTTTCCATATGTTTATTTGCCATCTGTGCACCTGCTTTGGGGAGGTGTCTATTCAGGTCTTTTGTCTATGTTTAAATTGGGTCATTCACTTCCTTACTGTTGAATTCTAAGAGTTCTTTGTGTATTTTGGATGACGGTCTTACATTAGATATGTCTTTTGTAAATATTTTCTCCCTGTCTGTGGCTTCTCAGTTTTTGGAAAGCTATTGTTTTTCACCAACTTGGCTTGTGATTGTGTCAAGTTATTGGCATCAATGCCCTGGGAAACCAAATTCCTTGAGTTTTCCTCATTGGGAGTGCCACTGGACCCCATTCCCTCGTGTGCTTATTGTCCGTTTGTGGATTCTAACTGCCTGTCATTTTTTATTGATGTGTTTAAGTAAATCTGTTTAACAGACATTTACTGAGTACCTCCAGTCATTAAGCCATTACAGTAGCTGCTAGAGATGGAAGAGGGAGAAGCAGGTGCAGACATAAGATGGGTGTTGGGAAGGGATCACCGATGTACAATGAATTAACATTCAAATGAATTGACTGGCCGATAAAGAGAAATTTTTGCTGATCAGAAGTAGCCACTTAAAAACCCGCCCTGATCTTGCTGTACCTCAGTGAGAGACCAGTAGCTGATGCCAGTAGGTACCTCAGTTCCGACTTCGGCAAAATGGAATCACAGGATTAGAATGAGGCTCAGCGTTGATTGTAAGTTAGTCGTTAGGCTGAAAGAAGTGACCCCAGAAATGTTAACTGGAAACTGAATCATTACACCAGGAGAAGGAGCCGTCATCGATTTGTCTTTCTTTTACATGGATATTTCAGAAAAAGTGACCAACATAGACTCTGCCAGTGTGAAAAGGCATTAAGCAAAGGAGAACAGTACTAAATTGTTACATCCTGTAAGTACTTTTATGTATCTAGGCAGCCAGGTAGTTCTTACTTTGATCTTGCCAGCTCTTCGGAGTCACATACATCTCTTTCGATTGGGATAAAGCACAAGAGAAGATCCCCCTTTTTAGGGTATTAAGTGGTCCTTTAAAGCATGTAGAATGATTTGCAAAA